ATAGCATCGCCTTAACTCGCATAACAGACAACTGGAATAAAAGCCACCTTTTGAAAATGTTTTCTGTCATCGGTAAACTAATTTCTAGGAAAGAAAGTGAGAAAAACGAAGCGATTAAAATCAAACCTGGTATGAAAAAAGACTTAATTTTTATGCAGCATCGCCCAGCCCTGTGACGAACACCATAAAAAAAATCTTTAATTTGTCGTTAATCAGAGTTTGTATTCTTCTGTGCCGTTTCCCTTCCAGTCCTCCATCCCAACCCCTCCCAGCTGGTCCAGAGCATGAACGACGGAGTTCGTCTGCCGTTCAACAGACACAGTCGACCTCCCAACATTCCTTCTCCTCCTCCGCTCATTCCAACCAACAAGCCCACAGACAAGCCCTCCTTCATCCAGGGCGGCTCCATCTCCCAGGTAAGACACCCGGGTCTCTCTCCATGTCACTGAAATTCTCCGTCTTCGTGTTCAAATCTAATTCTCTAACAGGCTTCACGTGGACGGTTCAGTTTAAACTGGAAGATCTGGGTTTGTTTACCTCAGCGCGACCCACTCGTCCCTTTCAAATCCAATTTTACTTGCACATTTGTTCTGCTTGTGATTAGAGCCGTAATCGATGCTGCGCTAATACAATATTCTGGTTGTATTAGCGTCCTCGGTTGTTTTCTCACCATGTGAGGTGGTCGACACCGTAACGTAAGCAGTGCATCAGGAGCTAAAAGATGATCGGTGTCACTTGACACCACTTTATTATTCTGTTGGCCGCAGTGACCTGAACATGAGATGAACTGTTTGTCCCGTTTCTTATCCAGGGAACTCCTGGCACTTATTTGCCCTCTCATGCCATCTACGGGCCGGAGGGGACGAAGAGCTCCGGGGGCTCCATCTCTCTGGGGCTGCCACGGCAGATGGACCCCAACAAGCCCGGTAGGTCCAACGTTTGGCACATGGCTACACAAACATACCAAAAAACACAAGACCATCTCTTCAAACTAACATCAGACTCGGATGAGATTATGTTTTAGTAATTAATCGTGATAAATAGTTGACTGACATAATTGTCGATCAATTTGATGATCGATTAATCGTTGACTCGACTATATAGACTAAACAAAAATAGACTTTTTACTGAAAGGCAGCTTACTTACAGCATTAATTAATCTACAATGTACAAAACTTACACATTTTTTATCAGATAAATTTAAATAGCTTAAAACAATCAAGTGAGGAAACTTTGAATTGAGGTTGAACTGGATCTGTGATTTATTTTTTATTTATTTTGCAGTTAGTGAATCTGGTTCAAATGGCAACCAGATTCCATTTGATCCAACTGACTTGGATCAAATCGATCCAAATTAGTCAAGACGACAAAAACAAACGGGTCCCTTAAATCGCACTTCAGAAATCAGATGCCAAATTTAGCATTAGCCAGTTTCATGATTCTGTAGACGGTAAAACCCGGCTGACGTTCGAGCAGATTTATATTTTCTTCCCAGATCTTTCCCAGTTTTAAAAAGTACGACAGAAACAAACAAAAATAGGGACATAGGAATTCATATGTATTCATATGCTGGAAATGCTCTTATGAAAGTTTCGGTACTTGTTCTGCGCCTGTCGTCATATAACTTGATGTATTTCCACTTGAACTCTTCTTCTGTCCCGCCCGGCAGGAGCTGTGGTTTCCTCCATCCAGGACGGCAGAGGCAACCCGGCAAAGGTTGGTGAAGGCCTGGCTTTCAGAGGATCCATCACTCAGGCAATGAATTATTAAACAAATAATTTACGCTTTATTGGTTCCCTTGTGTGTGTTGGTATCCACTGAAGTAACATTGTTTTGCTGTCAACGACACAGGGCACTCCAGCTCTGTCCCAGCCTAGCATAGCTGCTGACCTCCTGAAGGGCACAATCACAAAGCTGGCCACGGAGGACCTGGGCAGCCCAGATAAAGCCAGGGGGGAGCAGCTGGCTAAAGTCATTTATGAAGGCAAAAGTGGCCACATCCTCTCCTATGATGGTATGGAGATTTATTACTGTTGAAGTGCCTAATAGGTGTTTTTTTTTTTTTTGCCATTCTTTAAAGCTGGATTTCTTTGTTTCCATTAGGTATAAAGAATCCCAGGGAAAACACCAGAAGCCCCAGAACAGGTCATGACCTGAAACGCACCCACGACATGATGGAGGGTCCCATGGGAAGAGCGCACCATGGCAGGGAGGGCGCTCCGTTGGAGGGAACTTTTCGTGTGTCACCGGCTTTACCACTGCACTTTGGAAAAACACAGTTTGTCGTATTTTATTGGGATTTTATGTGACAGACAAACACAAGGTAGCACATAATGGCAACTTGAAAGAAAAATTATGAATGTCTTTATTTATTTTTTTTTAATTGCAAATGAAATTCTATAAATTGTGGCTTTCAGACCCCTTTAATCTGTCACCCAATGATCTGCACAGATCCACCGCTCAGGGGAAACATGTCCGAAATCTCTCCAGGGCAGACCTTTCCCAAATCCAGATTATGTATAAAGCAATTTGTAAAGAAAACAAACAAAACAAAGTGAGTAAGAGTAAGAGAGTAAGCTTGCCCAAAGTGCTGCACAAAAATAACACAAATAAAGGCAAAAGTGGTCACATAAAACAGATATTTTAGTTCTCATAAACTAGAAAAGAAACGATGTCAAATCAAACTGGACCAAATGCTGGACAGGAAAGCTTCCACTTGTGTGATGCACTACGTTGTGCTAGTACAGGAAGTAAAATCCCAGTAAAATAAACTGAGGCTCATGGCTGTAATGTAACATAAAGTGTAAGGAGCATTAATAGTGTGTAGTTTGTATTTTCTGTTTCATGAGTGATATTTTCTTTCATTCCAGGTCTGATCAGCCGGGCTTTACCTAGAGAAGGGCATCATGGCGACTCCAAGGAAAGAGCGCTGATCCCTGGATCCATTATGCAAGGTGGATGCCTGGGAAGCTTTCCACACTTGTAGTTTGCTGTGTCAAAAACAAAGCAAGGCCGGAGTAATTTTTATTTATTTATCTATTTTTTATTATTATTTTTTTTATTAGGGACACCGAGAACTACCGCTGACGCGTATGAGGACACGGTGAAATACGGGAAGCTGATAAAAACAGAAAGCCCGCCTATCCGAACATTCGAAGAGGCCATCGGCAAAGGCAAGCCCTACGAAGGAGTGAACACCATCAAAGAGAGGGGGCGCTCCATTCACGAAATCCCCAGACAGGACCAACCTGGACAGGACATGTGCAAGACTCCTGACCTGCCTGACAGGAGGGTGATAGAGGGCTCCATGCCTCAGGTTTGGGCACAACAATAACCCTTTATTGATCAGTTGCCTCCAGAGGGGCCATTTGCAGCCCTAAGACAGATTGTTTTTAACCCCTGACTGCAATTCAAGAATAATACAAGACTTTTTATTTTTAATTAAGGCAAAATTATCACAAATTAAAATCTTACAATAGAAAATATTGGCTACGACACAAAGTATTATATTTATATCTACATTTTAGGCTCATTCTGTAGGATTTTTATGCTCCTTTTGTGGAGATTTTTGTATTTATTCTGTAAATTTAACACTTCAAGACTCCATAGTTTATATTTTTATATATCTCTGCATAACCAGGATTATTGCTTTCTTACTTTTATTCAAAAGTAAACGCTTCTGCAGCCAAATCTGCATCTCATTCATTTGCTAAAATTGTCTGAATGCTGGAAGCATTTTCAAAGAAATACTGACCTAAATGCTATTTTTGGAGCTCAGAATTGACCAAATCTTTTATTTTGTTCAGTCAAGACATTAAAAATTTGGAAAAACTGGATGACTTTCTCTATGGTGAGGCAAGCCTGCAAAACCTTCTTTCACTTTTGGAATTACAATAATTTACACATTTCCCTTTTCAACAAAAAATCAATTTATTTTTATCAAATCAAAGTTCTGCAGCTTAACATATTGTTGAGAAGAAAAAACTATTTTTTTGCCCTGCAAGTCTTTTTAACTTGTCAATCTTGACCCAAAGGTTTGGACACCCCTGTTTAAGAAAAACTGTTTGAGTTATAGCTGAAACAATTAATCAGATGAATTGTTTCAGCTATTAATCTGATTAATATTAATAGCTGAAACAATTCAGCTAATAATTGTTTAATAGCTGAATTAAACAGCTATTTTAGCTATAAAAATCAACAATCAACAATTGATTGTTGATATTTCAACAATCAATTGATTGTTGAAATATCAACTAGTTTAGTAATTGGTTAATTGTTAACTATAGTGTATAGATTCAAAAAAACATCCATTGCAGACCAAGAACAACATATTCAGAGTACCAGTTACCCAAAACTGTACAAAATGCATTTAGCATTTAAGAGAAAAACAATTTTATCCGTAAATATGTTTTAGCCAAAACTCCTCATTGGCCTAATTTTAGCTTCACCTGGTTCAAATTTGCTGAAGGAGTCCTCCGTCATTGCATGTCAGGCAATAAAATGTTTATTTTCCTGTTTAAAAAGGGAGTTGAATTATTTGTTTATTTGCATCGTTTAATGTATTTCTAATATTGCATAGAAAAGCTTGTAGTGATTAAATGAAATCTCTGTAGAATGTGCCATTTTCTTTTTATCAATTTAATTGATTACTAAAATAATCATTAGTCACAGCCCTGAATTGAATTAAACTACTGAACTATTCATCGCTTCATACAAATAGAGATACTTTCTCCTCTCTGCAACAGAGTTACTCCCTGGGCCAGCCGACCATCAAACACAACGTCAAGTCCCTCATCACCAGCCCCAGCAAGCTTCCCCACAGCATGCCGCAGCTGGAGGCCATGGAGCGACCCAAGTACGAGGAGGGCAAGGCGGTGCGGCACTCTGTGGTCAACAGCACGGCCTCCGTCCTGCGCTCCACGCACCAGGAGGCCGGGAAGTCCCAGCACAGCCCCAGCATGTACGAAGACGCCAGCGCTCGCAGGACGCCCGTCAACTACAGCACCAATCCCGTCTCCAGAGGATCCCCCATGCTGGGACGGGGGTCAGAGGGTACGTCCCATAAGCGCTTTAGGGGCAAAGGATTTTGTTGGCTCATGCTTTGGGGATTTACTAGGGGTGGGAATCGTTTACTGTTTCACAAGTTTTGGAGCCACGATTCGATTCAAAATTGATTTTTGAGTCAAAAAGTAATGATTTCTGCTTTAATCAGTCGGTATGTGAGGGATCCTCGTATTCTGCTCCAGTCTGAGTAGGTAGGATAACGAGTGGAGACATTAAAGTGTCACATTTATTAATTATTAATCCAAGTTTAGATGGAATTACTCCCTCCCTGCATCCTCTGTTTTGCTTTTGCGAAGCGTCACAGAGAGAGCGCCAGGCCTTTATATATTGACAGTCTTTTACATGGAAAACAATGTTACAGTTTCCATCCTGAGGGTTTTAGCCATTTGACAGTCTTTGTAGTCATTTAGTGAGGAATCCTGAAAAATGGACATAATCCCTCACTATGTTGGATAAACGTGTCGGATTAACATTCTGTGTTCGTCTGCTGCGGATATTTGATGCTCTTTTTAATTTTGATTTAATGTTTTCTCTGACATGATGAAATCAGCTCATTGTGGGTCATTTGTTTGTCTTTAAGGGGGCATGAGTTCTGCCAAATCCGCTGCACATGACAGGAAGAGTGCCATGACCCCGACGCAGAGGGACAGCATCCCATCCAAGTCGCCTGTGTCGGTGGGCGACCCCGTGGCCTCCCACAGCCCGTTCGACCCCCACCACCGGCCTTTGGTTCCCGGAGAGGTGTATCAGACCCACCTGCCCCCACACCTGGACCCCACCCTGGCCTTCCGCCACAGAGGCCTCGATCCTGGTACGGTGTTTTTAAAACGTTCTCACTTTTTTTTTTTTTCTACTTCAGCTATAAATAGGTGACGAAAGCAGATCAGGTTGCCTAATTCCTAGGCATCCGGTCGACAGGATCTCTTTCAGTGATTGACGTCAGCAACAGCGATGAGTCTCAGTGAGCCGTCTGTTCATATTCATTCATCTGTTTTTTTTTGTTTTTTTTGTTCTTTGTGTCCTATAGCGTTCATGTTTCCCCGGCAACCCTCACCAACCGGCTACCACAACACCTACCAGCTGTACACCATGGAGAACACTCGGCAGACCATCCTCAACGATTACATCACGTCGCAGCAGATGCATGGCATCCCTCGGCCCGACATGGCCAGAGGGCTGTCGCCGCGGGAACAACCCGTCGCCATCCCGTACCCACCGCCTCCTCGAGGTAAGTCTCTCATCTGCCGCAGCAGGCAGGGGAGGCTGTAGTATGCAGACTGTGTGCTTGTGAAGTAGTGGCTACCTTTTGCAGACGCCCAGAAGCAAATGACCTTTTTCTTTCTTTTTTAAAACAAATTGACAAATTCAGCCGATTTGCTCTCTCTTAAATTGGGGCTGCGACTCATTTGGCTGTTAACTCAATTTATTTATCGGGTGTGGTCATCGAAATCTCACATTTGCTGAGTGGTTGCCTCTTACAAGTTGACCACTATTCCACTCCGCGCAGCCCTGTCGCTCTCTGATCAAGCGGGATTTGGGATGAAGGTGATGGGTTACAGCTAAGTGTCTACATACATTCAGAAATTGATGGATCGATTCTTGTTGTTCACCACTGGCCCTTTGCTTCTGTCTGTAAAAGGGATTATTGATCTAACCCAGATGCCTCCAACTATCCTGTTGCCTCACCCTGGGGGAACAGGTACTCCCACTTTGGAACGCGCCTACCTCTCTGGAGCTCAGCCCCCTTTCCCTCCTAGGCATTTCAACCCAGCCTCCATATCGCCAGGTGAGGACCCCTCCCAATCCTACACCCTGTTTTTCCCTTATCTCTGCTGCCACCAGCTCTGTGTCCCCCCTCACACTCTTGCGGCGAGTCTCGACCGCCCAGAGAGGTTTAGGATTACCGCAGGAACCGCTGGGATCGGTCTGATACGAAACTGTCAAGGTGTTCTGATTGAATGTTTAGGTTTTGATTGGAAGTTCTGGAGGAATTCAATATTTTCAATGTGGCTGAAACAATTAATCACGATTAATCGATTATGGAAATAATTGTCAACTAATTTAGTAATCAATTAATTGTTAACTGGAGTATACAGACTGAAAAGAAAGCAATTTGATTAAAAAAAAGCATATTCAGTGCAGTAATTAAGCCAAGAAAAATATATACATTTTTGCATTTAAGATAAAAACACCTTTGTCTGAAAATGTCATTCTGATTTACTAAAGGAATGCAATGGTGTCAGATTTTAGGCATCAAAATGTTTATTTTCTTATTAAAAAAAGACACTGGATTTTTTTTTATTTGTATCAGTTAATATATTTCTAAAACTGTATAAAAATGTTTATGTGGCTAAATAAAACATCTGTAGAGTGTGCCTTTTTAAATTAAATGAATCAATCGTCAGAATAATCGATACATTAATCAACTACTAAAATAATCGATAGTTTCCGCTCTAATTCCTCATGTTTCTGGATTATTTCTGTCCAAATCCTGCTTTCTCCCAAATGTGTAGATTCAGTGTAAAGCACCAAGATGATCTGACTTCACAGCTGCATTTTAGATTTCAAGTTTCTTCAGTTTATGATTACTAGCTTGTTTAACTTGCTTCTGTTTACAGAAAAACAAAACAGTCATAATCTTCTTGTGACAAAATTTAAACTACCTGAGCTTTCTAACACCAGCTACATACCAGCTGCATCCCGATGTGCACGGTCTGTTTTACTGAGCCGTTACCACCAAAGGTGCTTGTGTGTTTGTCTGTGTGCTGTGACTTGCAAAAGTATTCATACCTGGGAAAATGTTCCACATTCAGTTATGTCACAACCACAAACCTCATGTTTGTTATTGGTAGTTTATGTCTTGGACCAGCACAAAGTGTCTAACTGTGATCTGGAAGGAAAGTGATGCATGTTTCTTTGTGCAAATTGCATCTAAAATGTCATTTCTATTCACATTGTAGACCAACCTTTTACCGCATTGAAAGCGGCAAGTGTTTTGGGTCACAATCTAGGTCTGAACTTTGACTGGACCATTCTAGCACAAGACCAATCTTTGGTCTGAATCGTTGCTGTGTGTTTAGGGTCGTTCTCCACCTCAGTCTCACATCTTCTGCAGCCTCCAGCGGGTTTTCTTCCAGGGTGGCTCTGCTCTTAGCTCCACTCCATCTTCCTATCAGCTCTGACGAGCCTTCCTGTTACTACTGAAGAAAAACAAAGCACCACACAGCATGATGCTGCCTATAGAGGTCTGCACAGAACAGCTGCATTTAGGATTTGATTAAATTACACTCTGGTGGGCTTTGTTTATTGATTAGGTGTCTCCATTTTTTAGGGATATTAGAATAAATCAAAAATGATTATATACACAAACGCTACACCTTTTTCTAATTATTTTCCTTTCAGATGGCAGTGTTAATAAGTCACAGAAATTCCCAACATTTTGTGGTCATAGCTGAAAAATGGAAAAACAATAAAATAAAACTGGGCATTTTTAATAATACCTGACAATAAGGCAGACCTGGTTTTTAGTTTTATTTTATTTTTTTCCTTTTCTCGACATAATAATATTTAACCTTTCTAATTCAGCTCATAAGGCTGCAGATTTGACCACTCCTAGTGTATTAGGAGGTAATTGTTCATCCCGTTCCCCCAGTGCAGTGGACCAGTATTTAAACCATGACTTCAGTCTGATGCATCATAAAACAGTGATGCATCAGATGCCAGGGGTGTGATGATGTCATGCAGGTATGAAGTTTAACGTTTTGCGTGCATGTTGTTGTCCCTGTTCTACTCAGGCCATCCAGTCCACCTTGCTGCTAGTGCAGAGAGGGAGCGGGAGCAGGAGAAGGAACGGGAACAAAAGGAAAGGGAGATCAGAGAGCGGGAGCGCACTAATGAGTACATGCGTGGAGGTGAGTTACTTAGCAAGTGTCGGCTCAGTGAGTAGTTTCAGAAGCAACGCTGCAACGTTTGCCCCTTCTGCATCGTTCAGGCGCCCCGGAGCAGCCGGGCCGGCCAGGGAGCCGAGGTTATCTGCATTCCCCTTCTCCGTCGCTCCGGACCCAGGATGTGGTCGTTCAGCAGCGGCCGAGCATCTTCCAGGGAAAAAGTGTCATCACCTCACTAATGTAAGCTCATAAAATTCGTAAGACAGGGTTTGAATGGGTGCTTCCTTGAAATCCTTAAAAAATGCTTAGATTTCAGTCAGGTGCTTTGGAAAGTGTTTGGTTTCTGTTTGAAGTCCTTGAAAGTCCAACGTTTCATTAAAAGCCTAAATTTGGAAAATCTTCTTTACAGCTAAAACCAGATGTTTTTTTCAGAGTAAAATCAGACTAAACTTCTCTTGTTTTAGGTTAGTTAGATATTCCAAAATGATTTCCATTTTCTAAATGCCAGAAAACTTATTGGGAGCTTTTTTTTTTTTTTTTAGACATTTTCTTTGTATGATATTTTAAGCATTTAATTTGAGAAGGGATATGATTTATCTTGAGATTTATTTGGATCGTGTCAGTGTAATGAATATTTATTACTCCCTATTGGCTCAATGATTTATTGATCCTTGTAAAATAAAGGTTGACTTATTTTTCTGTATGTTAAGTAATTTTACTGAAATTGGGGGATTTTTTTAGTTAAATTAGTTCTCGAACCAGACAGGTGAATTCGGTCTATGAGGGAGACTTTTCAAAACATTAAGTTTAATTTTATTTTAATTGACCGAGAATGTAGAAAATTATCACAAGACATTATTGTTAACAGTAATAAATGATATTAATGATGTGATAATAATGAGGTGTAGGTTTCTCCAAAGTGCTGTGCTGGAAAAGTTTGAAAATTTTACCATAAATTTGCATTAAATATACCTAAAATACTTGACTTTTACTGTAGTATAAATCCTTCTGAATCCTTCTGAAAGAACTTACCAACTCCAAACATTAACACACATTAAAGGTATCAAATCATCAATAGTTTTGTTGTAATATTGTAAAAATAAAACTTCAAACATACCATTAATTTAAAGCTGCACGTTTTCTATTATCTTTTTATCTGCAACGATGTAAAATACCGTGAGAAGTGGTCAAGTTTCCGTTATGCCAGTCAAGCTGTTCTCCCAGCAAACCCCCCCCCCCCACCCAAAAAAAACCCCTCTTATGTTATGTCATTTCCTCTTAGCCCCCCCCCGCCTGTGGCTACATCAGCGTCCCAGAGCAGCTCACGCTACAGCACGGCGGCCGACGCCCTGGCTGCGCTGGTGGACGCCGCGGCCCTCGCTCCGCAGATGGACGTCACCAAGGTCAAGGAGAGCAAACATGAGCGGGACGATGAAATGTCTTCGTCGGCCGTGTCGCGGCGGGGGTCGATCCTCTCGGATCAGCAGCAGGAAGCAGACAGGCGGTCGCTCCACTCGCCGTACAACGCCATGTCTCTGCCGGGCGGAAAGCCGCATCCAGCTTACGCCGAGGGGCCCGGGGTCGCTGGGGGGAAGGAGAAGGGTCCTCAGACAAAGTCCCGCATCGAAGAGGAGCTTCGGACTCACGGGAAGACGACTATCACCGCCGCCAACTTTATCGACGTCATCATCACGCGGCAGATAGCTTCAGACAAAGAGTCACGGGAGCGAGGCTCTCAGAGCTCCGACTCTTCAAGCAGCTGTGAGTGCCTTTAATGAGGATGGTCAAAAATCATGTACCTAATGTTAAAGCTTTATAGCTGCAGTATGTAATTTTTATAAAAAATGTTTTTAAATATTTATTAAAACTGTCTCCATGTCATGATGGTATGTTATGAGATGGATAATCTGTGAAAAGATCGATCTCGTCAACCTCCTACTTGAGCTATCATTGCCATCTGAAGAAATGCACCTGACCAGAAACAACCAATCAGAACCAGGAGGAGGGTCTTAGCGCTGTCATTCAACCTAATGCTGCTCAATGTGCGTCTTCATGACAGAAAAACAACTTACCGTTACAGGAAAATCATCTATCCTCTGTCATTGGTGGCCATGCTAACTAGCTGAGCATTCACAACAGGCTATTCTAGCAGCAGCGTAGTAGAGATGTGATCGACAGCGCTAACACCCTCCTCCTCCAACTCTGGTTGGTTGTTTTTAGATGGCACTGGGAGAAGGCAGTGGAGCAGAGGAGTTTTTTTTTTCACAGATTATATGTCTCAAACCAAACTGTGACACCAGAGTGACAGTTTCAACAAATATGTAAAAAAAAAATATCTTCATGAAAGTTACATCTGCACCTTTAAAATGTCTTAAATTCATTAAAAAGTAGGTTGGCCTTAAATAGATTAATCACAGGTTTCAGATTGTGTTGGACAGAACGATTAAATCATCTCATACATTCTGTTTTTCTTTCCTCTCTCTCTAGACTTTTCTGTTAAGCAGAAGTTTGAGTCACATTAGGATGTCTAGATGACCTTTTTTTTTTTGGTTCTATCGAAGGTTAATTAAAATTTATCGGCAGTTAAATGGACGAAGTTTGTACATTTCTTATATTCCACTCATGATGGTCTTTAAAAGTTCTGGAGTGAACGAAACTTGAATAAACTCTGTTAATTGAGATGACTTTAAATTCAAACGTATTCCACAAACATCGTCTCCTTTAGAATCCAATCTTTCCCTCCCTTTTATGTTCTTGTATGAAACTTGACTCTTTTTTTTTTTTTTTCCATGTTTAAATTTCAGTGTCATCCAGTCGGTATGATAACACTGCTGGAGGAGCCATTGAGGTTATAAGTCCTGCTAGTTCCCCAGTCCAGCCCCAGCAGGACAAAGCAGAAGACGGACAACAACAAGCAGCAGGTGTGAAGGCTATAAGTCTGAGAATGTCTCACCTTTGGCAAAGATAATCTGAATATTTTATGGAAGATTCGGTAGCGAGGGCTTTGTGGACCAAAACCTTTATGTGGATGAGTTGGCGTCCTGTTATTTCACCATCCTGGTCACCAGTCCAAAACAAGTTATTTTAGTCGCCTCCCTGCAGTTACTCATTTCCTGGATCTTGTCGGCTCTTTTCTGTTTCATCATTTCATCTATTTTAATTAATTAGACGTTCCCTGTTTCTGGTCACTCTTGCAGTTGCCATGCGGACCTACGACATGGGCCGGTACCGGTCGTCTGCAGAGCCGCCGCAACCCCCCTCCTCCCAGGCAGACAGCTACTCACAGGTCCCCAAAACCCACAGAGTCATGACATTGGCAGACCATATTTCGGTAAGGGATCCGCTACAATTTTCTTTTTTTTTTTTGGAAACGAAAATATAATCTAGATATTCAATTCAAAACTACAAAAATGAGAACGTGTGCCATCTAGTGGACAAGATTTTAGTTGTATTTTTGGGTGGGGCTGGGCATTTGTTGCACTGTTTATGATTTATTGTGACAATTTAAAATACGCACATTTATTTCCTGGTCTGATGTTGCTAGCTCGCACTTAGTTTACCTGATGAAGTCTGGATATTATTTCATAATTCCAACCTGTTTTGTTTGTGTGTCTTTCCCAGCATATAATTACCCAAGACTTTGCCAGGAATCAAGACCCCCCGGTCTCTTCGTCAGCGCCCACCACATTCCAGAGCTCCATCCCACCGGTGTCCTCTTCGGGTCGGGTCAAAGCCCCGAGCCGCTACAGTCCTGAGAACCAGCCTCCGCACCACCAGAGACCCTCGAGTCGGGTTTCTCCAGAGAACGCCCCTGACAAATCCAGGGCCAGGTATGCAGAGTAAAAACGCAGGATGGTATTTTCACTCAAACATTACGTCTAAGATATGTTTTTTTTTTTTTTTTTTTTTTTTGCATTCTGCATTCAGACCTGGCAAGTCTCCGGACCGAGGAAGCAGGCAGATGGAGAACTACGAACCCATCTCTCCTCCACAGGGGTACCAAGGCATGGACAAGCAGGAGGCGGGCGGGCCTCCGTCCCAAAGGCGGGACACTGACAACTCTGAGATCAGGTATGCAATTAGCACCTTTTATGTGAGATATTTTTAACTCGCTCTAACAATTACAGGCTTCATACAAAGGGTAAAACTGTCGGAATAGATCACGACTTCTTCTAGAGAAATGAGTGGGGGCAAAAACACATAGACAAATGAAAAAAAAAAAAATCCTTAGGTTTGCTTCAGAAGGAACATTTGATGGTACTTGCTTGACATGCAGCTTGGAGTTATTTCTAGTTTCTTGTTTGAATTCTCCCAGATGAACTGTTTCCTGTGTCTGTAGTTCCCCATGGAGCTGAAACTTTGTAGACTCCACTGGAAAAACACATCTCACCACGTATTTTTGGTCTAGTTTGTTTCCCAAATGTGTTGGTGCCTTTGAAATAAGAAAAACTAGCTTAAAAGTTATTTTTCAGCATGATGTAGGAGCTCGTTTAACATAACGTATAACAAGACATTTTCCCCACGTTCTGCTTGTTTTACTAGCAGAAATACCCCGCTAGTAAAACAAGCACGTTTTCACCTATTTTAAGGAATTATTGAAAGTATACATGTAAGTTATTCTAGTCTTTTTGAAGTCTATTAAGATATTCGCACTAGAAACTAGACAAAAATACTTGGTGAGATTTAGTATTTTTGCAGTGTTGTTTGCCTCAGCTGCTCTCTTTCTGCCTCTCTGCTCTTCCAGGAGTGACTCACGGTCCCCAGGAAGTGTCAGCTACCTGCCTGCTTTCTTCACCAAACTGGAGAGCACTTCGCCCATGGTTAAATCCAAGAAGCAGGAAATCTTCCGTAAGTTGAACTCCACCTCTGGTGTTGGGGATTCTGACGTTGGTAAGTGGGTCTTCTCTTATCTTTTGTGTTTAAATAATTCCCTCTAGTTCTTCTCTCTCATTGTTCATGTCATATTCTTTTTTTTCCTACTTGCTTTTGTTTTCAACATTTTTCCATCATATTGCAGGAAATGCTCAGCCTGGGACAGAGATTTTCAACCTGCCTGCTGTTACCAGCTCCAGTAAGCCAAAAATAAAAAAAAAAAATCCAGAAGATCAAATGCCTTCATTCTAGTTTCCATTTCCTGTCTCACTGCAGATTTGTTGTGTTGTAAACTGCAGGCAGCATCAACCTGAGGAATCAGTCGTTCAACGACCCGGCCAGTAACTTGGGCCTGGAGGACATCATCCGCAAGGCTTTAATGGGCAACTTGGAGGAGAGGCAGGAGGAGCACCAGGGAGGAGGAGGAGCTGTTGTCATGAACAACGCAGCCGGCACGGGCGGCGACACCCGACAGGAGGCCAGCCCGTCTCCCAGCATGGGTAGGTCACAAACAGGGAGACCAACTCCACCATCTGAGACACGGTGGTATTTATTAGTAACCCAGGTAAAGACGTGTGGAAAATCTTAAAGTACAAGCAGGGTCCAGAGTTGTGATTTGTTGCTTTTTGGAGAAACGTCATTCAGTTTTTATGTTCCACTAATCTGGGATAAACTACAAGAAAACTGCAAACCTGCTGAAACACTGACTTCCTTTAAATCAAGGCTAAAAATCCACCTCTCATAGTTGCCTTTGACTCACAGTAATTGAAACATTGATCAATATATTTGATGTATATTCACCTGATGATTTTGATTTAACAAATGCAAAGTCTCTGGCTTGTTTCATAATTGGTGCCTGTGTGTTTTTATGATGTAAAGCACTTTGACTGTCTTGTTGCCGCAATGTGCCAAACAAATAGGCCAGTAGGACAGTATTATATAGACAATAGCGAATAATAATGCAAGTTTGCCACAAAATTTAAATTTTGTAAAGAACATTTAACACCGACAGATGTTTTAAATATCCAAAATAAAACAAAATTAAAACAATACATAAAAACCACACACAACCAAAACCATAAAGTTATGAATTATGATTATAAAGTCTGTAAACAAAATTTCCTTTAAAATATATCGGTCCTCAGAATAGAAATGGTCAAGCTCATTTTAATTAACTGTTTATTGACAGACTTGTACGCAAACAAACTTGACTTTGTGTGAAAATCAACACATTGAAAAGCAAACTTGACACTTTTGTGTTCATTAAAGTTCTAGGTTTCTAAAGATTTGATATACTTTTGCTATAATAGAAGAATTTGATTTAAGGATTTCTGTGTCTCCATCTGTGCTACAAACATGCAGCTGATTTATAAATGGCCGCCCGTTTGAATCCGCAGGGAAACAGAAGCAGGGCAAAGCAAACAGCCGGAAGTCCAAGTCGCCCAACCTGGGTCAGGCCTACCCGGTAGGGGAGCGTCCGTCGTCCGTGTCCTCCGTCCACTCTGACGGGGAGTACCACAGACAAACCCAAGCACAGTGGACCTGGGAGGAGCCACCTCCGTCCACAGGTGAGCTGCTCGTTTGTCTGAAAACATGATTACTGGTAAAATGAAACCTGAAGTCATCTGAAGTCACGTGGCTCTGGACCGTTCGTATTCGCCCTCACCTTCCATTCAGCCTTTCCTCCTCCCTCCCTGCATCTGTTTTGCTTTTACGAAGTGGCCACGGAGCTAAAGCCACACTCCATGGACGACGATGTTCCAATTTTCATCCAGGAGTTTTTAGTCTTGCTAAAAATTTAGGGAAGTCATTTAGGGAAGAACCGTGGAAATGTACGTAATTCCTCATCGCTTCAAATGGACCTTGCCCATGTCTCCAGTTGATCTCTGCAACAAACATGGCAACAAACTTCTTACCAATCACACAACATTTCGCACAAGAGCTCCGTCAAAACGGTTCAACACGAGCCTGGTGTCAGACACGTATGCACTCGATTTTTGTCGTGCATTTACATGATTACTGGTAAAATTAAACTTAAGGCTCATAATAAAAAAAAAGCTCCATTTTTGTGTATCTAAAATTAAGGCCTTAAAATTTGTAATTCAATAAAATAATGTAAGTTGGCCTTATAAAGACATTAATCAGAGGTCTTAAAGTTTTCCATGACAATGCTAATGTTTTTTTTTTTTTTTTCATATATAAAGGTGATTGTTGCCTCATTATGCATTTGTGTCAACCCCTTTAAGTGTAAATTCGTTTTTTCGTCACTGGCTCAGGGCTGTTGCCAACACATACAATGCTAGGTGGAGTCTGTTCAGAAGCGCGTATAAGCTTGGCACTACATTAAGGCTGTAGAGAGCAATCCGCTGTATTTATAGTTACATTGCATTAAAAAGGTCAATAAAAATCTCTTAAATTTGACTCAATAAGACCTGCAGATTCCCTAAATAAGAGCCAAATTCGGTGCTTCGGATGAAGTGCACAGGGGGCATTTAGACCAGTTTGTCTCATTCTTCTTCTCCCTTATTTAAGGTCCCATGCAGTTTCCTTACAACCCTCTGACCCTGATGAGCACACCGCCCACGTCCATGGCCTCAGCCTCCATACAGAGCCAGCAGCAGCAGCAGCAGCAGCCGCCCCCAGCCAGGGGGCAGCAGCGAGTGTGGCAGTCTCTGCTGTCGGAGCAGTACGAGACCCTGTCCGACAGCGACGACTGAACCCGCCGACAGCCCGGTTACCAGGGAAACGGCCTGCGCTTCAGGCGGATCTGCCCACGCCCCTCTCCCGGAACTAACCTCACTCTTTTTGCGAGTGATGAGCGGATGGGGTGGTGTCATGGTTTTTTTTTTTTTTTTTTTCCTTCTTCTTCTTTTTTTATTTTTTGTTGTTGTTTTTGGTGCTATGGCGCCCCCTGGCGGTCAGCTAGGAGAAGCAAGCAACAGGCAGGATTCTCCGGAACAAGACTCCGTATTTGCTCCAGGAGCCTGCCGGGAGACGTACACGCCAACATGGAGGACGACAAACGGCGCCAGTCGATCTGAAGAAGTTCCTTCGTGGTAAAAGAAAGAGGAAAAAAAAAAAAGAAACATAAGAAGCTATTTCTGAATTTTTTGTCTGATTCTGTAAAGATACACCCTGTCTTTAAGAAAATTTGTATGTACATAGAGTAACCTTTTTGCAGTGTTTTTCTTAACTTGTTTCTTATTTTAACGTCGCTTTTAACTTGATCCACTTTAATTGGGAAAGAGGTGTGGTGTAATCTTTAATAACGCAGTCGCTCCATGCCACCAACCTGAAACTTTATTTTTTATTTTGATTTTGATTTTTTTTTATTTTTTTTTTTTACCATGGCTTTGCTAAGAGAGACGGACCTGTTGTTAAAACTTGACCCCTTCTGCGGATCACAGATTGTGCCGCCGTCAACCAAGCACCACCAGAGCCTGAACTGGTGTGGACAACAAAAACAAAAACAAAAAAAAACTGAAGCGTCGAAATCTGAAGTCGGTCTTCGTCACACAGTGGAGCTGATGCGTGGATCGTAAATAAACAGACAGTAGAGACAACTTCTCACTCAGTTGGAACAGAGAAACATCACAACAAGTTGAGATCACTGGCATCAGAGCCGAAAGGTGAAAAGTCGGAAATAAGCTTGCTGGAAATGATGATCGTTATGACTACTCCTGGACCCTGTCTGAATGATGAAAGTGAGCCAATGAGTTTTAATTTTTCTTTTTCTTTCAGTAGAGCTGACAACGCAGTGTGTTGCATCCCTGCAGTTTCTCTTTCCAAGCTGTCCAGAATAACGTCTTGTCAAAAAGGAAGAAAAAACAAACAAAAAAAAAAATGTCAGTCATGAAATGTGATTTCTTTTCAGCTTTCTTTTCTGACAGATGATTTTGCCACGCCTTGTGAGTTAAGAGAGAAGGCAGCTTTAAAAACGATTTTCTCAGAGATATATGTTGGTGTCATTTGTACTTGTTTCTGCAGTCCCTGTTGTTATTATTATTATTTTTATTTTCTTTCTCGTTTCTTGTCCTGACAACAATCTGAGCTCTGTAAAACTTGTCTTCTCATTACACGAAACGCAGAAACTAACCAAACGTAAAGAATGCTCTGCACCATTGTTGCACTTTTTGTTTGCTTTGTGGCTTCGGACAACAGAAAGCGTACTACCTGCTGTGTAACTTAATCAACCTCCATCCTAGGACTATACTAAGATGTGCTTTAACTTTTTCCCCGCCACTCAATTAAAATCTGGATGTTTGAACTTCCTTTCTTTCCTCACTGCTGGTACATAATATATTTTTGGTGTTAACACCTGCATCAGTTACTGTTTTTAAGTGCATGGTACCGTTAAATGTCTAGGAGTTTGCTGTCAATGTGATTCAGAATCTTGATAACTTAATATCTGCTTTCATTGTGTCCGTCAGCAGTTGGCTCTGGAGACGACTCCTATTACATCGACGTCATAAACGGCAGTAACTCTGTTCACGTTTTCTTTATGTAACAATGCCATATTCTAGCTGTCTCTCTACTCAAGTTGCTTGAAACTTGATGTTTCTCACTATTTCTTCATTTCACTTTTGTTTTCCATCCTGCTTTTTAGGGATGTTATGTGTTTACAGACGCGGTGACAAACAAAAAAGTTTACAAACTTGAATCTTAAATCCGACATGAAGCCGTAAAAAGAAAATGAATTAGACCGTCTCACTTTTTTTTTTTTTTTTTTTTTGGTTGGTTTCTTTTTCCCAGCTCTTTTCAAATACACAGTGGTGACTCTTTTTGTCTATTGGAAATTGAGACTTGAAACCCCATGTGTCCTATGATGTTAAAATGCAATATTTGTATCGCACAATGTCTCTTAGTAGGCTATTACAAGAGTTCAGACCAATCGAATAAAGTGGATCCGTTCACCACTGACAGATTTGTAGGTTTATAGATGTGCCATTTTTTTTTTTTTTTTGACTGCACACTGTCATGCTTGGTTGCTGAGGGGGACTTGCAACTGTCACTTGGCTCTTTACTGGCAAGTTATTGCAATATTAAATAAAAAAAAAGTGTCATGAATTGCAATATAATGAATAGTATGTAATAAGTCTGGCAGTCTGTTAGAATAGGATAAACAGACAAATATCTCTTATAAAAAGAAATCTCACCTTCATAAAGTATCCATGTCACCCCTTCACGTCACCGTCCATGTATAATAAGGTGAGTATTTTCTTCTGTCTCAAAAGAAAAAATAACAAAAAATTTTTTTACTTGTATTCCAAAGTCTTAAAACGTAAGATTTCCACGTTTTATTTTCATATATGTACTAAGTTAAATATTTTTCTTGCTCCTGGTTTATCGCCAAAAATAAGGATTGCTATTGAATTTTGAAAGTTAAGTCAAATAAAAAAAATAAAATAATAAAATAATTACCGTGCTTATTTGCAATGGTGAAAATAACGTTTACTTTGAAAGGACTACAGCACTTTGACACCGGAAGTCGTAATGTTATGGTCGCGCCTTATTGGCTGATGAAGAGCGGTAGTGCCAGAAACAAAAAATTATGTGGAAAAAATGCGGACATTTTTACCTGCAGTAGCAGAACAACTTTTCCGAGACATCCAGAAAATATACGAAGAGACGACGCAAAGTAAGAAAAGAGCGAGTGGTGATATTTGGGCCAACACGACCGCTAGCTTGGTTGGTTTTAACGGAAAAGTGTCTTGATTTCTACGAACTAAACGAGAAATACTAACTTCCTAGTTCCCGCACTGTCTTGGCAGATTTCAATTATCGGATGTCTATAGCGACTTGCTATTTGCTTCAAATAAAATGAAAGTATTTTACTTTGCTTGTACAGTGAAAGAAATGTAGCTTTTGCTAATGGAGCACGGTAATGTAGTTAACTATTTGAGCTGTAGGGGGCACTGCTGTCTTAGAATAAGAGCTGGATTCTAAGAGCCGTGAACAGTTTTGACATTGCTAATAGGCCAGAACCACCTATCTTCAGTACAAATAAGATAACGTACCATATATCCACATAACAATGTTGACTTATTTTTTTTTTTATGACAAGACTTAATGTGTAAAGTGGTTTCTTAATTCATTCTAGTAGTTCTTGGAAAAAAATATTTCCCATCTTAATACAGTTCTAATGTTATTTCTTTTTGCCAAACGTAAATGTTTCAGATCGTCAGAGAAATTTTATTTTAGACAAAGATAACCTGAGTAGATGTAAACAGCTGTTTTCAGCTGAGGATTTCTTTTAAGAATGCAAAGACTTTTTCACAGGGCCAGGTTGGTTTGGATAGCTCTTTTCAAACTTTGCATTGTAACTGTAATCCTTAGCATTAACAACTGGCATCATGCCTAAGCAAAAAGTGGAATTTGAAGCAGCAATAGAACAATTGGCTTTCCAGATGGTGAAGGTTACTCACCCTGCTCCAAGAAATGTGTGTGAATATTTTCCATTTTATCCCCATTTATTTTAAACAGAGAGAACAACTTAAATTTGCTGCCCCATTCTGAGTTAATTTTCTTGCTCGAAGACGTTTTTTTTTATTTTATTTTTTTATGCATTTTGTTGTTTCAACCGACTGTTCTCTTGTAGTTATATCATTAATGTCTGCAAGTGCTCTCTTTTACTGCAGACTCATTTGCAAAATCAGACTTGTGCCTGGTGTTTGTTTTACACATATATCCTGATGTTATTTAACCTCAAAGGTAATCCGTAAAATAAGAAATAAGTCTTTATTTTTTGCAACAATATAATTACATATTTCAGGTATGTTTTGCACAGGCAGAATGTGGAGCTGCTGAATAAAAAAAAAAAGTTTGGCAGCTTGCCTTTTCTTTGCCACAGAGTAACACATTACCCAAGAGTAGTTGCATTTGATTGCAATGTTCCAGTTACAGTGCGACGGCCAGAAGCAATAACCTGGAGTTAGATTTTAGTCTCCTTTAAACAGTTCCTCAGTAAACTGGAATTATTTGTTACATTTTGAAATTGAGGTCTTTTTTCTTTTTTTTTTTTTCTTTTTGCAGTACCCGATGACCTACTTATTGCGTAAGTATCCATTTTCCTAATGCATACCACACTTGCTTCTGTCAAAGGTATTTATTTTGAGCTTGACAGCCATTTTTCTTCAGTTTTCTGTTTAAAATATCTGCGTGAGAATAGCATTAACATCAATCATCCGGTGTGATTCGAGCGGTGCTCGGGTTGAGTCCTGGAGATCTGCTAAACCTCACCAAGGAGAATGAACGGGGCAGTTTTATGGCTCGGATTTGCCCCACGTGACGTGGAGACAGAGACACGAAGCTGGGCTGTGTGTTGACGGAGATGTTTCCTGGCCTGGTGGTCTGAGCTGCTGTCAGTGAGGGCCGTTCCCTGTCTGCGCAACACTTTCACATCCTGTTTGTTCATCAGGAAGTTTCCAGTTTAGGGGTTCACGCTGTGGAAAATCTTTTGTTTTGTGTCAGAAAGTTGAGGTTTCGCTCCACGTTTGTCTTTTCACGAATTAGCGACTACTTACAAAATATGATTGGAATTATCACAAGACAAATGTGAAGTGGTTACATTGTTTCTTTTTTCATTTCTATAGATTGTATATTTTTTTTTTTTTTCGTGGTTTGCAGACTTAAAAACATACAAACAAAGCAAACTAGGTTTCACTTTCACCCTCTCTCTTCCCCTCTCCCCCAAAAAAGGCACCAAAAATCCTCTGTTGGCTAAAATCTTTTCTGCATGACGGGCCCTGATTGTTGACCACTTGGTACCAAACTCGATCTGATTCATTGGTTTATTCAAGCTGCAAGAGAGCAAGAGAGAGCAAGACTTTCAAAAAGCAAATAGTGGGAAGCAGAATAACCAAGTTTACAATAAAGCTACTTGAGTTTTATCCATTTGAGCCTTTGAAATGTCAAAGTGAACAATATCAATAGATAATACATCTGATTGAATTTTAAACAATCTGTTCGGCCCAGAATCGCACAGCATTCTGGGGGATGTAGGTAGAAGAAGGGCTTTAGTCGCTCCCAAACCTTTGTTGGCAAGCTAACAAAGGTTGGTGGCATCAACTAACTCACCCTCTCTTTGGTTACCTAACAACAGCCTGTTGTGTAACTTGTACAGCAGCAGTTTTGTGTTTTGCCACCGTGCATGCTCTGGGATCAGAACATCTCAGTTAAAATTATCCTGAATCCTGAATCATCAATGAATTTACAAATAGCAAATTATTCTTAATCGACTAATCCTTGGAGCTTGTATAATCTTATAATCATGCACCAAGATCGAAGCCGTGAGATCTCTGGCTTTATTGGTTTCCCTCAGCTCTCACGCTCCCTTCCTCTCGTCTTCGCAGGCTGAAGTTTGTCTTCGGGACTTGTGCGCTGCAGGCGTTGGACCTGGTTGACCAGCGCTCCGTCACGTGTCTGTCCTCTCCCAGCGGTCGAAAAGCCTTCCAGGTCTGTTAAGTAGCTGTCAACGTTGCACGTTTTGCAGTCAGGAGTCCCCCCGCTTGCACAGCTGGCAATCTCTATAAACTCCAGAGTGTTGAACTGCGAGGTACAACAGAGCAACTTCCATATATGAGCCGCGTGATTGCTGTTTATGAATTTGGTTCTTCTGTCAACAGTATCACAAGACTTTCCGGGTTGAGTAACAGTCATATAAAGTTGGTTTATTTTTCAAGCGGGGGTGGTGCGTTCAGGGTGAGGTGTAGTGTTGTCTCATGCATGTCTCTTTTGTTTGCTGCGTCCTCTGTCTGACCTCCGTCTGACCTCTGGAACAACTGGATTTTATACTGAGATTCAATTACTTCTTAGGGGATTTAGAAAAGCTCTCTTATAAACGAAAACAATTTGTTCTCCAGGATTTCTCTACATTTTGCTGCATTCCTTTTACCTTCTTCCTTGGCCTACCACTGAGAAGCACTGCCACAACATGACGCTGCACCCGCCGTGTTTCACAGTTTGGCTGA